AAAGTAACAGAACCTGACGGCCGTTACAAAAGAAACGGCAGTTACAAGCCTGGTCTACCAAGTGAGTTCCAGGACAGCCAAAGCTACACAGAGAAGTCCTGTCTTGAAAAGCCAAAAAAGAAAAAAAGAAAGAAAGAAAGAAAGAAAGAAAGAAAGAGAGAGAGAAAGAAAAAAGAGAAAGAAAGAAAGAAAGAAAGAAAGAAAGAAAGGAAGGAAGAAAGGAAGGGTAACTAGTGTCTTGAGGTTTCTATATAGAGCTTCGTATATGCATAATATATACTATATCCACAGGAAAGAATCAGTTTCCATATTCACCTTAGAGAAAAAGAACCTGAGGTATGCTCAGTACACCATCAAATAATGGAGAAAATGCAGTGTGCCACTCCACATAAGCCAGAATTGAGCAATACTAACAAAACAATGCAAATCAAATTCAAGCCTATTGTGCTCCTTCATAAGAAACCCAGGGCCAGTAAGACGGCTCAGTGTGTTTTGCCGTCAAGCCTGATGATCAGTTTCTAAGACTCACACTGTAGAAAGAGAGAAGCAACCCCCAAAATTGTTCCCTACTGGTCACACACACTGTCGCATGTGTGCCTCCCCGATGCTTGATAGATGATAGGTAGCTATAGGCAACCTGGATAATTTACGTTCTATGCAAGTCTCACCTTTAAAGTGAAGTAGGGATAATTGTGCTTGATTAGAATTTCTGAAGATTTAATTGGGACTAGTCCAAGGCCATCAAGAACCTACATAGGAAAATGGAAAAAAAACATAAAAAGACAGGTACACATCTGTGAGCAGAAACAGCTGTGTGTGTGCTGTCATTATGTTTTGAAACATTACCTGAATAGTTCTGTGCTCAAAACAGCTCTTCCTGTGGCCGCAGTTGCTATCTCAGCTGTGGGCATGGAGGCAGCTCCCACCCTCTCCTGTCTCTTTGTGTGTGAATCTTATGGACTATGATGTAGGCTGCTACACGCCCTTCTGTGCTGGTTAATCCTGGTTGCTAACTTGACTGGATTTGGAGTCAACTAAGAGCCAAGCTACTGGGCACACTTGTGAGGAATTCTCTTGACCAGGTTATTAGAAATGGGAAGACCCATACAAAACGGGGGTGGCTCCATCCAGTGTCAGCCGGACAGAAGTCTGAGGAGGAAGTTTAGATTTTTGCCTCCTCACCTAGGCAGCTCACCAGTGAGCTCATCTACCCTGGTTCTGCCACTAGCTGCCACATTCTTTGACTGAGATCAAAACTCAGCTTCTTTGGGTCTCCACTGCAGATTGAGGACCAGTGGCTCTCCAGGGTTGTCAATTGCAGGTTGAGATTGCTGAGGCCTGTGACCTGTGGACCAGCAGCTACCAGGATCTCAGCCCCTCTGGTATAAGGTAGCCATTGTTAAACTACCCAGGGTGTATTGTGTAGACAAATCTAATAACACCACCCTCCCTTTCTCATTCTATCAGCTCCAGAATTCCCTCAGGCTTAAAGGACTTAGTCCATGAACCCTTGGGAGTTCAAAGTAACAACTGGTGAGGTCAGCAAAGGAGATGCCTTGTCTGAGGGAGCTGCCTCACAACCTTCTGGTCTATCTCCTAGGACAGTTTGAAGTCAAAGTTCAAGTTTAGCTCCTTTCACCTATGAGAGCTTCAGAGCTCCTCTAGGGCTTAGCCAAGTTCTTTGTCCAAGGGCATTGTGGTTACACTTCTTCACCCAAGCCCCACCTCTGTGCTGGTCCCCAGAGAGCCTCCCACACAGCCATCTGTCTCAAATAACCAGAGACCCTGGGGCAGGCCCAGGTACATCCCAGCACCCAACAAATATCATTCTTTACCTCATTCCAATTAGGCACCAGCATGCCCTTAATATGGTGAGTTGCTAACATGCCGTCATTTAAAAGAGATAAGTCAATTTTAAAGTTGCTAAATGTTTAAAAAAAAACCCATGCATCTTAGAATTGATGAAGTCTAGCACTCAATGCCCTTAAGATATGACTTGTGGTAAATGCCATGTAAGGATTAATTAACTATTATCATTATTATTTATTATTATTACATTGTTTATTATTGTTGTGTATGTGTTGATATATGTGCAGATTCATGTATGTATTGGTGCATGTGCATATGTATACACACAGATGTGGGACACAGAAAACAGTCTTGGATGTATTTTTACTCAGAACTGGTTTATACTTTTCAAAAGGTTGATTTTTAATTTTATTGTGTGTGCATCTGTGTCTGTGTCAGCATATGACATATATGTGCGGGTGCTTTCTGAGTCCAGAAGAGGAGACTGGATTTCCCAGAACTAAATTTATAAGCAGTTGGGAGATATCCTATACGGGTGCTGGGAACCAAACTTGGATCTTCTGGAAGAGCAGCAAGTGCTCTTAACTGCTGAGCCATCTCTCCAGCCCTTGACACAGGATCTTTCACTTTACCCAGAACTCCCCAATTTAGCTATATTGGCTGACCAGTGAGCCCCAAGGATTGGCCAGACTCTGCTTACCTAGCACTGAGATTACACATGCTACTGTGCTTGGCTTTTTCCATTTTTACCTGTGTTCTGGAGGTCAACCTTGGGTGCTATGTTCCCAGACAAATTTATGACTATTTATTATTATTATTATTATCATTATTGTTATCATTATTATTCATGCCCATAAGGGAAGAAATGGGATGCATCGTCATACTTCACGAGAGAGATGTTGGTGGAGAGGTGGGGTTCCAAGTCTGACAGGTTAACTTGTCCGAGTCTGGGGCCACATGCCCCGACCTAGTTGCCGATCTCATCTTGGCCTTGCGTTTGCCAGGCTCATTTGAGCTCCGGGCAGGTGGATATTCTGTCCTGTCTTCTCTTCTCTCAGGTACACTGGGTGTGGGCCTAGGGCTCACGCTGGGCTTCAGCCTGGGAAGCAGCTCAGGTTACCGGGGGGCTCTTCCAGGGTACCCGAGGGTTCAGTAGGTCTGGGACAAACAGTAGTGGGTACACACAGATTTCTAGGCACGAGCCTCTTTCAGAGCCTCTCAGGGGAGGTGGAGGGACTGAGAGCCCGCTTGGCTAGCAATCTGCCCACGCCCACGCTATCCCTGTCTGCTTCCCCATCAGAGGGAAGACACCCACTAACACACCCACGTGATCCTGCTTGCTTCCTCTGCACCCACACCATCCCCAGCGGCTTCCCCCATAGAGGGAAGACACCCACCAACTCATTGTAGCTCTGCAAGTCGGTCGGGAAGGCGAAGTGCAGCACTTCCTCAGGCTGTAGCGAGTAGCGCCAGAGGTTTTCGTCCTGACTCATGCGGGCCCTCAGCGATCGGTAGGGATTCTCTCCTAGAGAAACACAAGCAATTTTAGGGCCTTCTCAAGGCATTTCCATGGGAAACAGCATCTTCAGTTGTGTTCCTACCAGATGCCATGTGCAACAGAATATTTAGGTTTATCTTCTTCAGTGATGTGGATACTGATAAGATGTCCTGCTCCCATAAACAACACTAGGTAAATGTATTGAGTTGCCAAACACACACACATGCACACGCACATGCACACCACACACATACATGTAGGCATGCACATGGCACACACACACACACACACACACACACACACACTGCATATGTACATTGTTAGTTTCCCCGTTCTCTTTGCCTCTTTCTCTAGTTTTGAGACAAGGTCTCATGTAGTCCGGCCTGGCCTTGAACTCACTATGTAGCCAAGGACGACGTTGAACTTCTGATCCTCCTACCTCTACCTGGGATTACAAGTGTGTATCATCATGCTAGGTTTATGGGATGCTAGGAATGAAACCAGGGGCTCGTGAATGCCAGGCAAGCAATCTTCTGAGCAATGTTCTCAGTGCATTTTCTTTTAATTCTTATTTTAATAAACTGATTTGTTTTTGAGACAGGGTTTCTCTGTGTAGCCCTGGCTGCCCCAGAACTCCATCTATAGACCAGGCTGGCCTCCAGCTCACAAACTCTCTTGCCACTGTCTTTGGAGTTTTGGGATTAAAGGTGTATGCCACCACACCTGGGTTCCATTAATATTACAATTTTACTTCATTTTGCTTATTAAGCTACAATTCTCTTAAATTTAAAAAGATGCTATTGATAGTTTTGATTATGTGACCAGGCTTGTGCATATGAGTGTAGTGCCCAAGAACGCCAGAAGAGGGAGACAAAATCCCCGGCGTTAGAGTTAGAGGTGCTGGGAAATAAATCCTTGCAAGAGCAACTGCCGAGCCGCCTCTCCAGTCTTCCAGACTAAATTCTTACTTAAATTACCTCTGATGAACTTTAAAAAAAAAGAATTCTAGAGAGCATTTATAGGTAACCACATGAGATTTTCATGTAAAGTTTACTGTTTTGTTATTTTAAAAAAATCACTTCCTTTGTCAGAAACTTCAATTTTAGAAATAAAATATTATAGGGGGGAATAAAAGAGCAATCAAAACACTGCAAAGCATTTTGGGAGGGAAGCAAGGTAGTCTTGTGGAGAGAGGGGTGTCATTACTGCTTGGGGAGGTAGGGCAGTGACAGAGGCAGGCCCGGGGCAGGGCTGCTGGCACAGCTGCCTGTGGCCCTGTGTGTGTGTGAACCACAGACTGGACACATCTACTGGGAGAAAATTATGACTTGGCTTTTGATTCTTGGAAACACCTTGTGGACCAGAGGAATGAGTCCCCCTCCTCTCTGTTTCTCTCTCTCTCCTTTACCCTCCTCCCTCTTTTGACCCAGTGTGTGCATGTCTATGTTCATATGGGTACTCATGTATATGAAAGTATGTAGTGTGTGTGTGTGTCTGCATGTGGAGGCCGTAGGTCAACCTCAGCTGTCGCTCCTCAGGCGTGTGCCACTTTGCTTTTTGAGACAGCCTGCAGCTTGCCAAGAGTTCCTTCTGGCTCCACCTTCTCAGTGCTGGGATTACAAACCTGCCACCAGGCGTGGCTTTTTCAGTGTGGGTTCTGGGGATTAAACACTGGTCCTCATGCTTGCCAGCCAAGTCCTTTACTGACTGAACTGTGTTCCCAGCCCCACCCATCAGAACTTCCTGAAATAATAGCCAGCATGATGCTTAAAGCTTCATGTGCAAACGAGAGATCGAGAATGTACTAGATTCAAACTGTCACTCAGCAACAGTAAATGACAAGTGTCCTCGTGTGTCTGCCGACGAGAAGGAGCAATGGACAAGCAGAGGTCAAGCTGAGGTCACATTTCATTTTCTAGGGTCGGTAGGCCTTGGTGATGAACTGGGCAGGCAGTTGGGCCAACGCTGGCATGGAGATCTGAGGTAAGTGTGAAAATAACCCCCCAGAAGTGTCTATACCCCCACTCCCGTGTACATGCAATTGTACATGGTAATTCACACACAGTGAAAGGGAATTAGCAGATGCAGGTCAATGTAGGCCTCTCAAAGTGGAGAGATTACTCTGATTTTCCAGGTAGGCCTGATGAACTCCCAGGGTTGGTATAAAAGGTGACAGATAACAGTGGCAGAGGTGGGGGCTGAGAGCCAAGGGAAGCAGGCAACTTTCAACCACCGCTGATAAGACAAGGAGCCAAACTGCCAAGAGCTTGCCTTTAGACTGCTGCTCTGATTTCTAGAGGCTGACTTCTGTGTGCTCACGTGCACCTCATGTGGAGGTTGGAGGGCCACCTTGGGTGTCAACATTCAGGTGCTTTCTACCTCTTGCTTGTGATAGGACCTCCCATTGGCCTGGTATGTCACCAAAATAGGCTAGGCTAGCTGGCCAGGGAGCTTCTCCGGACCTTGCTGTCTCTGCCTCCCAACTCACTGTCATAGGGACAACTGTACCCAGCCTTTTAATGGTTACCAGGGTTGAATTTAGATCCTCACAGTTTACAGGCAAGTGCTGACTGAGCCATTGTCCCATCCCTGAATCTGCGTAATTTTAAGCAGCAAAGTTGGTATCAGTTTCTTATAATTGTACCAGGAAACCAATGTGTAGATTTGTGATGTGATTTGATGTCACCAGAGCTGAGTTTATCAAGGAGAGACCTTGGGCTCTAGGAGGCCATGGTTACCAGCACCCCTCAGGTGTACTTACCTTGTATCAGGGTTCGCTTGACCTGGACAAGCTTTCTCATGATGCCTTCTTTGTCCATTTCACGGATATTCCCCAGCATAATGAGCAACCTTCGTCCAAGCATGATCTGGAATTGGAAAGAATGGCTTCAAGTTAGGGATTGGTCCATGGTTGTCTTGGCTGTCAAGAGGTGAGCAGCTTGGCTCCAGCAGGCTCTCCTCGCTGTACTGCTCTATGCGATGGAATGACACCTCTGGAACTGAGTCAACACACTAACCTTCTTTTGTGTTCAGTTGACTGCTTCAGGCATTTTGTCACAGTCAGAAATCTGAATAACTCGAAAAGTCTCAATCATCACTCTCCCTTGCTTGAGTATGGCCTTATCCCCTAGGGGAGCCACACTCAAAAAAAGGAGAGACCTGCAGGTGGCATAGGGGGAGAGAGGGGCTGAGCACATCCTTTGGTGTCAAAACTCAGAAGGGTTTTTCTTTTTTGACACAGTTGGGAAGGAAAGGGGTGAACCACGGAGGGAGTCAGGACAGTGTTTCAGTCATAGGAGGAGCAGAAATGCAGGCCCACAGTGGGGATGCTGGTCTCCGGTGGGTACAGCATAAGGCAGAGGTGTGGCTGCAGCCAGACACGCCACCTGACATCTCTACTGTGTCAGAGCTTCGAAAGGCTTCACCCTTCCTCCCTTCCCACGTTTCTGTTTTGTGTGGTGTGGTATATCTATGTATTCATGCATGTGCATGTGTACATGTGTGTACAGGCATACATGTGTGCTCATGAAGACAAGAGGTTGATACTGGGTGTTATCCTTAATTGCATCTTTTTTGTGTGTGTGTGTGTGAGACAGGATCTCTCCATGAACCCAGAGCTCTTAGATTTGGCTAGAATGGCTGGCCACGGTGTCCCAGGGCCATCCTGTTTCAACCTCCATAATGTTAGGATCACAGGACACTCCACCACATCTGACTTTTTACACAGGCGTATGGATGTGGAGTCACACTTACATGATAAAGGCTTGGTGGAGATAGGTATGAAGGGGAGGAGGTGACTTGAGGGGAAAGCAGTGAGCCCAATGTCACCTCTGAGAGTCCCCATTCTCCATCGAAACAATTGCCCCCAAATCCCATAGCCTTAGGGTCACCGTATGAGCCCAGCCGTTCCTCTCTGAGGTGTGTAGACCCTGGAGAGTAGAGAACCACATGCTCACTAGGCTGCGTATGAGTGTTTATAGCAGCACTGCTCAGAGTAGCCAACTGGTAAAAATCGCTGAGATGTCCATCAGTACTTGAACAGATTTAGAAACAAAACCATACCAAACCTGGTCTATCCAAACAGTGGAATATTACACAGTAGTAAAAAAGAATGAGTCACTCATTATGACCCCAGGGAACTTGGAGATATAAGAGAAAGGAGTCAGTTACAAAAAGCCACATACTGTGTGATTCCGTTTCATGGAAAGACCAGAAGAGCAGAGTCTATAGGGATAGAATGTAGACTTAGTGCCTGCCTGGAGCCTGGGGAGGAAGAGGATGGGGAGGGACTGCTAAATTCCTTTCTGCATAACAAAAATGTTTTGAAACTAGGTAGCAGGCAGAGGTGTGCCTCAGTCAGTCCAGTCTGTCCACAGAGTGCATGCCTGAATTTCACAAGGTCCGGAGTTCCAACATAACGTAAACCTGGTGTGATGGTACACACCAGTAATCCTAGCATTCAGGAGGTAGAGGCAGGAGGGTTAGTGAGTTCAAGGCTCCCCTGGGATATATAGACTCTGACTAAATAAGTAAGTAAGTATCACATAGTAATGGTGGCTGTCTATATATGGGACTATACTAAAACCTTACTGTCCTGGTTAGCTTTAGCTCTCAGGTGGCTGAGAAGGTAGTCTGAGAGGGCTTCCCCAGATCAGACTACTCCATGGACATATCTGTGGAAGGCTATGTTGATGATTAACGGATGGAAGAAGACTCCTCCCACAGCTCATCGTGAGCCCGAGTGAGCCTTTGTGTTTCTCCAAGATGTCTGCTGCGGTCCCTGCCCTGCCCCCCGTCATGATGGACTCTGATGTGGAAGTGTCAGTCAGATCATCTCTTTCCTCCCCAAAGCTGCTTTTGGTCAGTGTTCTATCACAGAGTGACAGGAAGGGGAGGGACTAGAACACTTGTTCAATGGGACACTGCAGAAGTGATTTTTATGCTGTGTGAATGACATCTCTTATGGTGTGTTCCCCCATAACTGCACAGATAGAAAACAGAAGAGGGCAGTCTAAGGCGAGAGCTACCTTCCGCGCTGCTTGCTGAAACCGTCTTTGTGCCCGGTGTCTGCTCAGCCACATGTTATTCACAAGTGGATCAAAATTAGGATGAAATTCCTGGATTTTCTGAAAATATAAAAACACGGGTGCACCTTATATTTAAATACAAACTCTTCGGCATGAGCATTTAATAAATGTTCTTGAGTTTGATCTCTGGCTGGGTGTGGCAGTACGTGTCTGGAATACCAGCAACTCAGGAGGCTAAGGCGGGCACATCAGGAGTCTGAGGTGAGTCTGGTCTACTTAGCAAGACTCTTACCAAAACAGGCAAAAACTGGGAGGCAAGGTGGCTCAAAGAATGACACTGTTTGCCACTCTGCCTGATGACCTGAGTTCAGTCTCTGCCATATTGGTGCTGGGAATCCAATCTTGGTCTTCAAACTAAGAACAGCTAATGGTCTTGTCGCTGAGCCAGCTCTCCAGCCTGTGCTTCAGTTTTTGAGACCGAGTCTCCCGCTCAGTGTGCAGCTCACTGATTTGAATGGACCATCTCTGTACAGGTACATGCCACCATCTGAAGCTTTTATGTGAGAGTGGGGATTGAACTCAGGTCTTCAAGCTTGCATGGCAAGCGCTTTACCAACTGAGCCATCTTCACAGACCGTAATGATACGTTTTGACATTTTGCTTGCAATTATGTGGTGTTCCAGTTAGCTTTAGCTTGTCACAGCCTAGAGTTATCTGAGAAGACAGTCTCGGTTGAGGGATTTCCTAGATCAGACTGGCCTGTGGGCAGGTACATGCAAGTATGGGGACTTGTCCTGATTGTTAATTGTTAATTGTTAATTGTTAATTGATATGAAGGTCCAGTCCACTGTGGGCAGTGCCATACCTAAGCAGGTGGCTCTTGATTGTTTAGGAAAGCTAGCTGAGTGTACGCCTGCCTGTGAGCCAGCTAGCTGCAGGACCGTGAGCGGCAGCCTGGTTCCTGGTTGAGCTAAGGCTAGAAATCCCAGTGACCCTAAATGGATGGAAGGCATTTCACCCTGCTCCCTGGGAACTAGGCTCTTGGCACAAGGCTGCAGCCCTCCATAGATTTGTGGCCATCAGTCATGTAAGGGCAATGCCCCAAACCCCTCCACAGGTAGAGGACAAGACCTATGGTCATGTAGGCTCAAGACAGATCTCCATTTTAATAAGGTACTTAAAGGCCTAGAGACTTAGCCAATGAACTTTCCTTTCCAGATGCTCCTCCCAGCAAAAGGTATTTAACCTCAGGCCCACCCTGAGAATTGTGGTACGGTTTTATTCATTCACTTTCCGCCATGAGAATAAATGCATTAAAACCATGGACTGCATCTTTTCATCAGGGTCTGGTCATGGTGAGCCAAAGAGAAGGTCTTTGCTTATAGAACTGCTGTCTTATCTGCCATAGAAGGCCTTTCTGCGCTCCCAGCCACAGCTTCCACCAAGACAAGCCAAACCCAAGCCAAGCTGCCTGCCGACCAAGCCAAAGACTCATCCTCTCAGGACCAGCCGGACCTCCACCCTCTTGTCCCCCTTGGCCCGGGCTAGATCCAGCCCGAAGGCCTCCACTCTGTTCTCAGCTCTTCCACAGCATCCAGTGGTGCCTGGGTGTCCAATAACCTGAGAACCAGACGGCCCTGGCCTCCTTGCAGGCCTGAGGATCCCTGAGCCAGCTCTGGCTGTCCCACACCTCAGACTGCAGTGTCCCTGCAGCTTCCCTATAGTTGGACACCTGCCTGGTGACAGCGAGGGGTAAGCTGTCAAACTCCTGAGTCCTGCCTTCCTAAGCGACCCTAGCCCCGTGGCGGATCTGCTAGCAACCATCCTCCTCCCTGGGTTCTGACATGCTTCTCTGGCTGCGAAGTGAGTTTGTGTCAGACATAACACTTGTGGGAAACAGCACGCAGGCCTGACTTTGAGCTCCTGCTTTGAGTTCCTCAGTGATAGAATGTGATTGATGGGGGGTTGTGAGCAAATAAAACCTTCACTCCACGAAATTGCTTTAAAACAAAAACAAAAACAAAAAACAAAAACAAGGGCTGGAGAGATGCCTCAATGGTTAAGAGCACAGGCTGCTCTTCCAGAGGACCCGGGGTCAGTTCTCAGCACACACATGACAGCTCACAGCTGTCTCTAACTCCACTTCCAGGGGATCTGACACCCTCACACAGACATACATGCAGGCAAAACATCATTGCATATGAAATAAAAATAAACACGTTTTCAAAAACCTCAAAAATATACACTAAAATAATCCCAACAAAACAGATTTATTTTAAACTATGCACCCATGTGTGGGTATGTGCTACTGGGAGTGAGGGGCTAGTGAAGTTCAGGAGAGTGCACCTGACACACTGGAGCTGGAGTTGTAGGGAGGCAGCGGTCAGGAGTTGAGCCACCTCTCCAGGTTCCTTACGCTACTTTTGGTCAACAAAGAAACCACACAGTAAAACTCCTGGAAACTCCTGATGAAGGAATTTCTATAATATTCTTGGTGTCTTTGGAAATGAACAAAGAATTGCCACTTAATTGGATTCCAAATGAAGAGAAGTTACCTACCTCCTCCAAGTCACGGACGATGCGCTTTTTGCTTCGTTCAGTCTGGAGTCGCTGAAGCTCCTCCCCTACGACGGGGTCACCTCTGTTTTGCTAGATTTTTATATTAGTAGACACACTAAAGTCAAAAACAAATGCGTGAAACTTTCTCTTTAAAGATTATAGAAGCCTACAGGATAATGGGTCACCCTGCCACAGAGTGCTGACAGGCAAAAGACTCCACTATTTTATTGTTCAGACAAGGGACCATGTGACCCAGGCTAGCCTGAAACTCACTATGTGTCTGAGGATACCCCTGAACTTCTGAACCTTCTGCTTCTACCTCACAGAGCACACCAGGATAGGTAGGAATTAGTCTCCCTCCACGCTCTCCAAAACATCATAAGGCTTTCTTTCTTTTCTTTTCTTTTCTTTTCTTTTCTTTTCTTTTCTTTTCCTTTCTTTCTTTCTTTTTTTTAATAACTTGGTTGCAGGTCCTCCAGTGTGAATTTTGTATGATATCATATGGTAATATCTGAAATGCTGGCCACAGGGGCTGGAGAGGAGGCTTAGCTGTTAAGGGTGGTTGCTGTGTTTGCAGAGGAGTGAGTCCGATGCCCACCACGGTGCTGATGGGCTCAAACTGTTAGAGCTCCAGCCCCAGGGGATCAGCTGCCCCCTTCTTGCCTCTGCAGGCATCCCACTCACAGGTGCATGCTCACACACATGTACATAAGATTACAAATAAGATAGATCTTTATAAAATGAAAGCTTGACCATGCCCCCATCCTTCCTACTCATTGAGACCTTGTAGTTCACACTATTAAGCTTTGCTGGCTTTTTTTTGGCGGGGGGGAAGTCCCCTATAATTCAGATACCAGTGCCTCAATCCTAGCTCTTCAGCATGTGACTATATGTGGCATCCATCTCGGGGTGACTCCTGACAGCACTTTTGGGAACATACTGATTGATGCTCTTGTAGACTACAGGAATATCTCACATCTAGAGCAATAGCCTGAGTCTGGTCATCTCCTTGGACTGAAACTCTCTCTCTCTCTCTCTCTCTCTCTCTCTCTCTCTCTCT